TTTGTAAAGTTGCAAAACAAAGTTACACATTTATTTACAACACAGTACAATGGTCGAACAAAATTAAATGGGTACAATGGTCGAACTATTTGCCTATCCCATACCAACAAATCGTACATTGAATTATTCTTTTTTTTTCAGATACAGTCCTAAAATGCAACAAATATTATATTGGTATGTAAAAGGCGAGAGAATTTTAAAATATAATTGATAAATTGATAGGCTTGGTATTTCTTGTCACACGCGATCATCAATACTATACTATTTTGATAACATGAATGTAAGGTATGTTATAAGTACATGTTTGTCTATATACTGTGTAGAATCCGTTAACTAGCGAATTATTTTTTAAATTTTTTGAAAGAATTGGTTATCTTAAGATATTAATAAATTACATATCAGAAATAGGAACAGAAAATGACAAGCATGTTAACGTATTTCATTGCAATTATATAATGCCAATAAAACTTTAATTGCCATTTGACTGAAATAATTATTTGATTGTAATTTGGCAAGATAATACTTAAGTAATAGTAAAGGCTATATATTGTTCATCGGATGCACGATATTTGTATGCGGCCAATCGTAAACATATCCAAATTATTGCACCCAATCGAGTCTGTGCCACTACATAGGTGCACCGAAATAATATCTAGACAAGTTACTAACAACTGCATTGTTGATTGTAGCAAGATATCTGTTCGTCTTTATTGTATATACCCACTTCTCTCTCAAATTTTAATTAAAAAAATCACGTACATAATTGAATATAATTTAAATAAAATCAATTATCAACGTGTTGCAAAACCATAAGCACAATAGATCAAAATTAGAACAAAACACAGATATTAGAACAAACACAGGAGAAAATCAAAGCACAGAAGGCGCTGAATTTGTTTGGGTGTAAGAATGTCAGAAAGGTGAAGGTTGTGAGATTATAAAACAATTTGTTTTTGTATAGTGCCACCAATGCTTTCCAGCGTTTTAATTATAGCAGATTGGCTATAAGACTAATTGCAACACTGTTATTCAATCCAATGTTTATTTAACTTAAACAATATGAAAAAAAATGAGTTGCCTGAACTGGGATTTGAACTCAAGACCTCTCGCTTCCTAAGCGAGCGCACAAACCCCTCAGCCACGGTGAATTTATAAACACGGCCTGAAGAAAAGCATATTATTCTAAATTAGGATTTGTAACGACGCTAACTGTTGTTTAACACTGCGCTTACTATAAGCATGTATATCTATAAAGAATAAAGCAATATTAGAAATCTTCGACCATTCGGGAATTATTTTGCTTGAAAATTAACGCGCCTGTCATGTGACCATATTTACGCAGTGATCTCCCCTGAATTTTTCGGCCTTAGTGTTACATATAAAGGGAAGTAACCGCTTCAAAAAAGCGGACTACTTTCGGCATTTGCAATTAACAGCATTAGAGTCTGAAATTTCGCTACCATTATTTGTTTGGTCTGACGACCCAAACAAATAAAAACGACTATACATACTATTGTCATGTATTTTCGCGACTTTCTTTTCTTTACCTGTTATAGAAGGTGCCACCCCGTTACAAAATTAAATCCAACTTTTTGTTGCGTAAGAAACATTTCCTTTAATATTTCAGTGTCCCATCTTTATTCATCTCTTGTCTGATTGGTCATATTTTAAGTGTGACTGGTTAATTGTAGAATAATGAGCACGAGATTGAGTGGACTAAGCCCAAAAATGACAATTCATTGTCAACAATACACAAGTATATCATTTATTCTTAATTATACGAATAAAGATACAAATAGTCCATTTAAGTTAAGTCCTTGAAGCGCTTAATGTCACTTTTGTAGGTGGGAAATACCCAACTTTGATATTTGCAACCTAGGATGAACTAAAGCTTGATATACCGGCTAGGAATAAAAAATCGTGTAAAGTGGTTGTAACTTCTAAGAATGAAAATTAAAAAAAAAATACTTTAATATGGTCTAAGTTATTTAATTTCGTTCTCCTTTCTTAAATATTAGGTATTACTCTTACCCTCTACTTTCCAATATAAATTTATTGGATTTAAAGTCTGGATCTGAAAAACAAAACTAATTTAATAATTCAATTTTAAGTCCTAATGAGATGGAATAGGTAGTAAAATCATTCGGCTATTGTACACATTTCATTTTGTAATTGTGTCGTTAATAGATGTGCAACTTTGTTATCAAAATATAAAAACAAAATCACTGTGCCCTTGTATTGCGAGCCTATTCGTACTATGTCTTGCGATTTCAAGCACATATACCGATCACTGTACTTTCTTGGGAGCTTATATATTTAACTTGACCTTTTCTTACAAAGAGTTGACTTGCTTAAATGTATATACTGTGAGACAACTTCATGATTCTGCACAAGACGTTATTGCAAATATTGAAATACATGCGTTTAATTTCCCGAAAACATCGACAATATGTGTCTGTGCTTTCATTGTACTTGCCATCAAAAACAACTTTTTTCGACTTTCAGCCGTAACACAATGTAAGCATGAAGTAAGCAGCAACAGGACCGTATATGTTTTATACAAGGGTTCCGTGCTATGAATTTACCGTAAAATATATTCTTTCCTCGATTTTAGTACTTTATCCGAGCGATCCGGTAGCCATTAATTGCGTTTGGTCACGTGATCATCTGCAGTGAAACATTGATTGATTTTACTTTGGTACAGCGAAGCAAAATCTGAAATATATTGCCCCATTCAGTTGAACAATATTCTAAATTGCTTGCATGGCATAGGTTAATAATTACGAAGAGAAACACTTTTTTAAAAGTACAGACAAGTTAACACTGTACATATGTACAGAATTATAGAGCTAAGATTTTCTTTTTAAAATTCATATTAATGTCTATCGCTTTATCCACTTTCTTTTCCAAAGATTCATTTCAAAATTCTGGGAACATGCATTAGCGTCTTGAAACAAATTAAACGCATTAGACGAGAACATTTATATTGTTATTCTCCAACGAAATCAATTTTCAACGTTAAAGTAATGGAAGGGGCGACCGGTGGATCATGCGAACGGCAATTGTTCATTTTCCGCTCTGTCATTTCCCTCTGTCTATCTGACAAGCATCATATTTTCTACGATTAGCTTTGAATTCTCTATCGGGCCGAAAGTGAATTATATTGTTAGATTTCAATCAATTTTCCTCGCTTCTATAGTAGGCAGTATCATAACTGACGGGGCGTTATGAAAGACAAGTCAATAACAATATTGTAACAATTGATTGTTGTTCCCCATCTGAGATTTGCCTCATTTTCTCAATAGGTACCAAGAGAAATGTTTTCAATAAGCTGTGCACAATCCAACATTACTCATTAACTTTATTTATGGTATTTAAAACTGAATAAGGGCCTTGATTTATTTGTTACAGACATATTACAAAAGACAGTTTGTCTGTTCTTGAACAAAACAGGCAAACACAATAAGTTAGTTGTAATGCGCAATATCCTTATGTCTTTGTTCGGCATGTAATAATGTTGAGAGTGTACAAACGATTGTATTTTACCACAAACAATACAGATGCAAAGGTATACTTTTATAATTATATCTTTTACAAGAACAAAACTTTTCCTGTAACTAAAGACATCGTAGAAATCTGACCAAGAAGCGGCCAACAGACCACCACAAATGATTTTCGAAGAAATCATACGTCACCTTTTTAGTACGAAATCATTAATTATTAGTAATTTATAAAGTTATAATCTTTTTTTATTATCCTCTATAACCGGACATAGAGGTTTAACTACATACTCGTTTCTAAATAAAGAACTTTGTGTAGTCTTCACATTGCCTGAAACCAGCACAATACAATTAGAAATTTTTTGTTTGAATTTCATTTTTAAAAAAAGTAACATCATGCTCAACCTTTCGCTATTAAGTGTAGCCGAATTATTAATATAATTCTAAAGATTGACTATTATTATAGTGGTTGGTCAGTCATTTATAGTGAACAATGTTTAGGATGAAATGCAAAAGCTACCTAAATTATGTATAAAAGGAGTGCTACACTTCTTAAAAAAGAATTTAACAATACCGATAAAATTCTGAATGATATTAATAGAAGTTTATTTTTATTATTGATTATTTTGCATTAGTTAAATATAAAATTGAACACAATTATGGGAATAGTTATTTAGATTTTAACCATTTCATCATTTGCAGTTGGATGGGTGTAACAAATAGATCAGAAGACTATTTTACTCTTAACATAAAACACAAGGGACGAAAATGAAGATGTACCTTTTCTATTTCTAGATTGATATCTGGTATTTTAAAGACTAAGATATATTTTTAGTCCTTCAAATACCTAGGAAGGACAAAATATGCGTTTCATCGACCAGCAACTTTTATTCATTTTACTGCAATCCAACTCCATAAATATTTTCTTTACATTTAGAGCGACACCAACGCGACATCAACTCGGTTATAACAGATATAAGTAAAAAGTAAACATACACACATTGAAACCAGGTGCAAGTGAAACTAAATATTCACTCATTGAAACTAGTTATAAGTGAAACTGAACATTTACTGACTGAAACCAGGTATAAGTAGACCTAAATATTTACTCACTGAAACCAGGTATAATTAACACTAAACACGCTTTCATTGAAATCATGTATAAGTCAATTTAAACATTCACTCAGTGAAGGTATATATATATAAGTCAAATTAAACATTCACTCAGTGAAGGTATATATAAGTCAAATTAAACATTCACTCATTGAAGGTATATATAAGTCAAAATAAACATTCACTCATTGAAGGTACAATGTCTTAAATGTACATAAATACTTGTAGTGGGTTCTCAATGTAATTTTAGTTACATCCCTTTACTTTCCATTCTGTATTTTAATGGAATGAACAAGATGTTTGGTGATTTCTAAACACTGAAATTACAATCCAGTACGATTGTATCTTCAGACATATATTTAGTAAATCGAAATGTATGATACTTACGGTAGCAGGACCGACCATCTACCCCGAGTTGGTATCCTGGAGTACACGTACATGTAAAAGAGCCAGCCGTGTTGATGCACGCCTGTGTACAATCGCCGTTGTTACTGTCACACTCATTTATATCTAAATGGGAAAAAAAACAAAAGGACCATGATTGCTCATTTTGTTGATGTAGTCTTGTATAAAACAACACATTTCCGTCTCGATTTGTAAAACTACAAAGCAAGGAGCTAAGATATTTAGCATGTAGCACTATCTGGTAAACCTCTGCAAAACTGATATTTATATCACTTAATTTACCGTTTATAAACGTATGTAGGAAAACACATTTAAATCTTATTGTGTCCAGAACTTAGATACTTTGGCATATAGCATCAATTTGTAAATTTCTACTAAAGTTTTATTCATAATGGCCATCAGGTCAAAATTGGCTTTTGTCATATTAAACATGTTACTGTGTAAACGTACTCTTGCAGTTCTACAACTGGAAACACGTTTTCTTAAACTCTATTTTCTGTATTCGAGTTTTACATTTCATTTGTCTATTTCAGGTACAGATAGATATCTATAAGTGTGCAAACTTGCATAACATTCATAGGTACATATTCGCTTAGCACGGAGGGCTATATATCGGGTCTGTCATTTAAAAATTATATATTCAAATGACACTGATATAGATTTGTGCATTTTGTATTTAATATGATATGTTTAAAACACGAAATACCTTGCTCTGAATTTATTTGTATGCAATATTAGAGCTTTACAGATTAAACATTTAACGTTTATATTTTTCTAACATCCATATACTTTATTGAAAATACTTTTCTAAGTTATATCATATTATTGACATAAAACTGTCCAAAGCGTTAAATTAATCATTTAGTTTTTCTGACCATACTGAAATTAAGTTTTTGTTTGTTTGTTTTGTTTGTTTGTTTGTTTGTTTGTATTTGACAAATTGAGGCTTATTGCTACAATGGAAGTTTATTTAACTAAAGGGATACATATTGCAAGGAAAACTCAAATAATACTAGGTTACGTTTAAATATGGACAGTTTAGAAAGTTAACAAAGTCTTCACAAGATAATTGTAAATGCATTCCAGTGAATATTATGTACTTCCCCGTCTCTATGCTAGGCACTATCATTACAGTGTCTGGTTCTTTATAAGCTCAATCAATGTTTTAACATTGCCAGTATCGGTTATACAAGACACTAACAATTCATTTTTACCGCGAGCCATACATACGAGTAGTTTATAAATGCGCTCATGAATGAATCAAGTGGCATTATGCTCATCTTTCGCTGCCGACTTGAATTAGTAATATATTTCAAAAGGTGGACTATTATAATGATAATTGACCAATAATTGAATATGAACAATATTTTTAGAATCTAATAATTTACAAGCGACCTAAATAATAAACCGTCTGCCAGAATTGAACGTTACCGATACATTCTAAACGATATTTACAGAAATTTCAGTTTGTAGTTTTTTTATTATTTTTTTCCATATATATATGGCAAAATATCAAGTTATTTTGATTCTTTCTTGTTCTAAGTCAACATATTTGTTTTTGAAATGCTGGTATTCTACTTTTGAAACGTTTGGCAAGTATAAAAGTTACAAATTATTGAAACAGCTAGAATTCGACTTTGAAAAATAATTATATCACTTATACACAACCTAATTTACTTAAATATTTGATAAAATTCAGAACAAGAAACCATAGATTACCAGTAGAAACTTGATCATGGCATGGGGTAGAACTTGCATTGAGAAAATGTACATTATGTAATTCCTCAATTTGTGACGAATTTCACTGCCTGCTAGAGTATAAACATTTTGATAATCAAAGAAAAATACCTATGTTGGTAAAATTTTGAATATAAATAACCAGAGCATTTTGGAATATAAGAAAATATGTCTGTTTATTATAGGACATTGTTGAAAAAATTATATACTCGTACATTGTAATGAAAATTTTTATGCATTTTATATGCGTAAATTTAAAGTATACAAATGTTTTATGTTTAAAAAAAACTCAAGGTACTCTCCCTTTACATATGCATATACTTTTGTATTGTACAACACTCTTGCATTTGACCCTAGAGTCGGTAAAAATATAACTGTTTGTTAATATTTATCTGAATTAAGAATCCATCTTAGCGCAATTTCACTTTAAAAATATAGACGTAGGTTCGAATCCTGGTTGAGCGACTTTAAATTTTTCTTTAAATTGTCACTCTCTTAAAACCGCCAGTATGTCCAGGCAATGAAGTCAACAGGACGTGAAAAAAGGCGTGGAATGGTATAAGTAAGTGCCACAGATGCATTTCCGACGGTTAAATGCTTATACTATTCTTAGTTTTCTTAAGGCTGTCAGGCTGCTATGCTGCTGGGCTGCTAACTTCACAAATTTTCAAGCGTCAGAATAAAAAAAAAGTTCAATATCTTAAAAAATAAAGATCACGTTATGGAAAAATGGCCCGGAATGGCATAAGTAAGTGCCACAGATGCATTTCCGACGGTTTCATGTTTGTACTATTCTTAAATTTCTTCAGACTGCAAGGCTGCCAACTTCACAAATCTCGAAGATCCGTCAAAAAAAAAAAGAAAAAAGTTCAACTTTTTAAAAAAATATCATGATATTTAAAAATATTTCAGTGGACAATTAACCTTTGGATACGCAATCTTGTATAACCGATACAGTGCTTGTGGTCATGTGGATAACAAATACAATGTACTTGTGTTTTTAAAACTTGTTTTTTTATAGGAGAGAAAACAGCTGTGGTCTAAATATAAATATGCTAATTATAAAAAAATCCCGCATCATTAGTCGTTATTCAATGACTTGTAATATTTTAATTATAATGCGTTTGTTTTTCAGATCATTATATTGTTCAATCTTGAAAATAATTTCCAGAAAATTGTATTCAAATCTGTATCCGATAACAATTAATGACAGCTGCTAGATTGTCAACTTCACAAATTTCGAAGATCCGTTAGGGAAAAATTAAAAAAAAAATTCATAAAAAATCAACATCATAGAAAAATATCATGAAATTGAAACAAGGCATTGAATGGTCTAATTAAGTGCTACCGCTTCATTTCCGAAGGTTTTCATGTTTGAAATATCTTTAATTTCCTTTAGGCTGTTAGGCTGCTAACTTCACAAATTTCGAACCGTCAAAATGAAAAAAAAAAAAAGTTCAATGTCATAAAAAATAAAGATCACGATATTGAAAAAGGCATGGAATGATCTAAGTACTTATGCATTTCCGACGGTTTTCATGTTTGTACTATTCTTAGTTTTCTTTAGGCTGCCAGGCTGATAGGCTGCTCGGCTGCCGATTTAAGGCTGGTAGGCTGCCAATTTCACGAACATCTATTTAACAACTGTTTTAATGCTTAGAATTGACCACGAAGGCCGTCATAATATTTATTAACTATTATGGATAAAATGATCTGTGGTGTTAGTGTATATGAGATATTATTTCGGTATTGTATGAAAAGAAAACATTATAAGAACTGAAAATATGAATTAAAAATGCTTTTTTATTGTTGCTTTAAGAGGCTTTGTAAACTATATAATCGAAGGAGAAAACATAACAGCCGCATATACAAGTAGTCCCTAACCAGTGTTTATTGGCAGTTTAATCCCGGTTTTTATAGTGACAAAATCACGAGGAGTGTTAGAATTATATATAAACATATAAGGTGAAAGCGCGCTACTGTTAGCGTTACACTATAGACCTTTTTACGACGCGGTCCGTTGCTATGAAAAATCGACCGGAATTAGAATTTTCTCGCGCATGCGCAATCTGCGTAGGCCACAAAAAAAAATGCATCGCCCTATAAATATAGTAGAAGTTCATACACAATTCCGAGTTAGTTCAAGGTAAACGGTAGAAAATTATATAAAATAGCTATTAACAAATATAGAAAAGATGACTTTATAGCTTTGTGGCGAAGAATGCCATAAAAGGGCATGGAAAAGATACTTCAATGTTTAAGAATTTACGATCACGGACCTGACACTGAGATCATTTTTTTAAAGAAGATGTGGAAATATCTATTAGCAAATGAAAAGTCTACTTATTTGCTGTTGAAATGGTTCATATAAAAACAAAAGAAATTTTATAACATGAAATCGAGATTAATTATCATTCTGAAAAAAATATCAAAACAGGTGATAATTAGGGCTGTGCATTGTCATTTTTTTCTGTCACGATACATATCACGATATTTGTTTTTCAAAACGATGCGATTCACGATATGTATTGCATACTTTGAATAAATGCGATGCATATTGCGATTCTTATGTTGCGATGCGATACGTATCACGATACTGACTTTTAGACTTAGTATATAAAAAATTGGCCATTTGTTTACAGCATAATTACCAATATAATATAAAACTATTACAATAACAAAAAAATAAACTCTTTTAACTTGTTGTTATAACTTGGTTTCCGATTTTGATCTTTTAACAATTTACTTTTCTGATTACTTGAGGATTAAATGTATTTTTAATTAAACCATAACAGCAAATTGATATCTACTTGCTATTCTAACACTAAAGTCTACTACTGTAAATATGGCAGTTTAACAATTTCAGTCTTACAATACACCACTAAAGATTTTTCTTGTGAAAAAAATAGTAACAAGTGATCTACAATTAGGTCAACAACTGTGAAAATGACAGTTTATAAGTTTCAGTCTCAGTTTTCTCAAAAGATTTGTGCTCAACCCCAGAGTATTTTATTTTGATTTTGCAAACACTCCACGTCCGGTCATCCACATTATACAACACTGTCTCATGGTTCCCCAAAAACTATAATTTTCCCCAAACTCGTGACTTATATGACCAGGGAGGATTGACTGTAATTTCCCCGTCTACATATTTTGCAGTCTTCGTGTTTTCTTTTTGTTTGCTTTATTTATTTTTTTTACGGGAAAATGATGTCAACGGAAATGAAAGTATAAATACGTGACGAATATCACATGGGGATGTTGTCATCATCACTATTTTAATCCGACATTAAAGTGCTACAAAATAAAATTCATGTTTGTAGGTTGTTTTTTCTTGAAATCGCACAGATATCTAATGATGTTTTTATTATAAACAAGTTCAAAGAACACCAGCCCATTTACATGGAATTGATAAAACTTGGTTAGTAACCGTTAAATGATTGCGGACATGGGGAAACGAGATGACAACGATGGAATGATAATAGTCGCGCTTGTTTATTGTTTTCATCCGTGCTATTTTTCTTTCTTCAGTCTTTCAAAAAATACGTTTGTCCTTATATTTCTGGAAGATATTGTTAGTGTACTGCGATACCTTCCCGCTGTATCGATACATCGGGAGGTGAAATATGTATTGCATTGCAATATATTGGAATTTGTAATTTCATTACGATGCATACATCGGGGACAAGACAGATCGCGATGCATCGATGAATCGTTACACCTCTAGTGATAATGCTTTTTTAGTGTTCAATATACCTGATTATATCCTTTATCCGATTTACCTGTGATGCAAACTGAAAAATTTAAGTCACATAAATAGGTTTTAAATAACTATTTTTTTCAAAATCTTGAGAAGTTAAGATAGGTTGTTTGGAAGAGATATAACACACATTTTATCCGCTTCTTCGTAATACACGTTATTTTAATAATGCACGTCACACAATTTTTCTCTTCTCAAAATCCATAAACATTGATCGGTATATTCAAAAGTTACATAAATTACCATTTTAATAAGCGTAACTGATTAACTATATCTTGGTATTTACATGTCCCGATTATATTGATATATATTTTAGATATAAAATAACTAATATTTCGAGTAAACTTTTCGTGACTTTGGTGAACTGTTTTGATTGGTCGTTTATTTTTAGATTATTGTCGCGCCAATTTTGTACTTCTAGTCATTCTAGCCTTTGTTGTCTAGCTGTCATGTTTAAGAAAAGCCGCCAACCCAACCCATTATTTATGTTGATCGGCAAATTTAAAATTTTGATTTGAGTTTATTGTTTGTTTGCTTGTTTTACCCTTTTGTATGTGTAAAGTTATTAGTATTGTTTAATTATTATTTGTAATTGGGAATGCGCATATATGTAAATCTTTCTTACATACAGTTGGAAAATTGAAATTTTACGCGTTTCGATAGTATAGCGTAAAATGTTTGTCTTTGCGTATCGCTTTCTATACAGTGATTTGTCATGTTTTTCTCGTGCTTAAGTCGCAATGAACGGTTAATGTATAATGTGTACTGGTCATTCTACCAGACGTTTTCGAGCAGTTAACATATCCAATTTCATATTGTATCCGACCACGTGTTAACCGGGCAGCCATGTCGGTTGAAATGCACTTCTTTCGCGAATGGAAGAGCTTATCAATGCTAAGTTTCAGACATTTGAGGAACGCATAAATTCTACTCAGCGTGAGTTGTCGCAAGCACAAATTTCGGCTATCCAGGAGAATTTGGTTTCCGACGGTTATACGTTTAAGAAAAAGGGACATGAGCAGCAGTTTAAAGTAAATGCTAAAGTGCTTGATAAAATGCAACAAGCAGACGGCTACATCCAAGAGGCTGTCAAGGATTCTTCGAACGACGCTGCAGAAAGTGCACGACAAAAACTAGTCGAAGGTATGAACATTTTGAATTATCGACAAAAATGCATTAAACTTGCTGATTCTTCTGAACACGGGTGGAAGGTGGTACAAGAGTATGAATCTCACCCGTTAGCAGACGACGACGAAGATGAGAAGAAAATCGCACGTGCGCAAATACAGGCGGACAGAAAAGTTAGACAGGAGCGTCGTCTTCGAGCGGCACGTTTTGGTTCTTCTCCGTATGGTATGAACCAGTCTTCTTATTCTACCGTTTCCGGGGCACCAGGAGGACATTCAGCGCAGCAGCAGGACAGACCAACATGGACGACCTCGAGGAAACCCGGTTCCTGCTTCAAGTGTGGAAGACCTGGTCACTGGCGTGCTGATTGTAGAGCACGTGCTATGGTTGAGGGTACTCAAACTGAGAAATCTGATCAGATAAGTAAAATTTTATTTTGCGGAATTAATGAAAATACAAAAAATAGAAAAAAGCTTGAGAAATTGAATAAACCCTATTTGTTTAGGTATGAAAATTATAGTAACGGTCTAGAAATGTCACCGGAAGTAGTCACTCCGGTAGGTAGGTTAAGGGGAAACTTAAAGCATTGGAAGGAGGCATGTTCTAATGAATATATTATTGATGTTATAGACAAAGGCTATAAACTTCCTTTTATGAATTTTCCTGCTACTACTGAAATTAAGAATAACAGTTCTGCTTTAGAGAATTCTACCTTTGTCACTGCAGAAATCCAAAATTTGGTGGCTAAAGGGTGTGTTTCTGAAGTACAGTCGGTTCCGTTAGTTGTTAACCCGTTGACTGTAGCTTTTAATCGTTCAGGTAAAGCCAGACTGGTACTTGATTGCAGACATGTAAATCCGGTTTTATTTAAATCACAAAGTCGGTACGAAGACCAGTCTGTTGCTAGGCAACTTTTTCATAAAGATGATTATGTGTTTTCGTTTGACATTAAAAGTGCATACCACCATATAATGATCGATCGGTCACATAGGACATATTTAGGTTTTCATTGGACACAAAATGGTCACAAAAAGTATTATGTGTTCAACGTTTTGCCTTTTGGGATATCCACAGCAGGATATATTTTTACAAAGGTTTTGAGGGTACTTGTAGAAAAATGGCGTAGCTTGGGTTTAAGAGTCGTATTATTTTTAGATGACGGCCTTGGTGGCAATCACACTTTCGCTGAAGCTTTGAGAGATAGTTCTTTCATTAGACAAGACTTGATAGATTTTGGGTTCTTGATAGCGGATGAAAAATGCAACTGGCAACCTTGTTTATTTTTAACATGGCTAGGTTACTTCTGGGACATGGAACAGGGAATTTTGAGAGTAACGGAGGATAGATTAGAAAGAGCTTTTCAGCTTATAGAACAACTTGTTTTGAAAGTTAGTACAGGACAAGTTTTCATTCCAGTCCGTATGTTGGCATGTTTAACAGGCCAGTTATTGTCTATGCAATGTGTATTAGGTCCAGTTGTCCGTTTAAAGTCAAGGTCACTTTATCAGTGTATACAATCCAAGGCAAGTTGGAACGCACCTGTTAAGGTTTCATCCGAGGTTTTATCGGAATTGATTTTTTGGAAGGAAAATTTGAGGTCACTGAACATGTGTAGTTTTGGACAGATGGAGAGCGTTGATAACGCAAGCGTCTCCGTTGACGTCATTGGTGTAAAAAACGTCTTTGTTGACGCCAGTGGATCTGGATTTGGTAGTTATGTTGATGGAATTGACGATAGTCAATTTTTTGGCACATGGTCCGAATCTGAGCAGATTTTAAGCTCCACGTGGCGAGAGCTCGAGGCTGTACGGAGGTCTATTTATTCTTCTTTGCAATATCTGCAGGAAAATAAAGTTTTAATAAATTCAGACAACAGAAATGTATGTTCAATTTTGAAAGTTGGCAGTAAAAAGCCTTATTTGAATGATATTTCTGTGAAAATTTATGATGTTTGCAGAAAGCATGACATATCATTGTTTCCTCACTGGATTCCAAGGGAAGATAATTCGGAGGCTGATTTTCTCAGCAGGTGTTTTGACAGTGACGACTGGTCAGTTACAGACTGGGTGTTCGATATACTTGAGTCAAAATGGGGTCCTCATTCTTTTGATCGTTTCGCTTACGATTATAATTGTAAATGTTTGAAATTCAATTCTAGATGTTGGTGCCCTGGAACAGCCGGTATCGACGCTTTTGCACAAGCATGGGCTGGTGAAAATAATTGGCTTGTTCCGCTCCCGAGATTAGTTTTGATTACTTTGAACAAAATTAAAAAGGAAAAATGCACGTGCACTTTAGTTGTACCCATATGGCGGTCGGCACCGTATTGGCCCGTTTTGTTTCCCGATGGAAAAAATCAAGCAAATTTTGTACTTGAATATGTTCTCTTTCAGCCAGGAATTTTGACAAAAAGGGGCAGAGGGAGAAACGGAATATTTGATGGCAGACCATTGAAGTTTGGTTTTATAGCTTTAAGATTTATATAAATTATTTCTTCATGCTTCTGCATTGTTGTACTTCTTATTCAGGCTTGAGATTGAAGCAGACGATAAACGATGAGCTCACAAGGACCGGGATTGATGACCCTCTTTTGAAGAATCTTGCATCTCAAATGGCTGATAAACTGTTAGACTCTAGAAGTGACACTACTGTAAATAAATATTTCTCTTATTTCATGAAATGGAAAACATTCATTACGTCTAAAGGAGGTAGTGCTTTACCTGCTTCACCAGTTTGTATAGCTTTGTATCTAACTGACTTGATGAACAATGGTTGTTCTAATCACGTGATTTCCTCTACTGTTTATGGAATCAAATGGGCACATTCTTTAAACAATCTTCAGGATCCCACAGAGAACCATTTTGTAAAAAACTTAGTTGAAAGTGCTAAACGTACTTTATCTAGACATGTGAATAAGAAGCAACCAGTGACTACAGATCTTTTAATTGAATTGTGTAGTAAATACGAAAGTACAACTGATGTATTAATATTAAGAGATTTGTGCATGATTTTATTAGGATTTTCAGCGTTTCTCCGTTTTGATGAAATACGAAATTTGCATTGTAATGACATTACGTTCCATGACGATTATTTTTCTTTACATATCCGTAAAAGCAAAACCGACCAATACAGGCACGGAAGTGACGTGGTTGTTGCTAAGGGCGACACAATCGCTTGTCCTTATTCTATGCTAAGACGATATTTCGTAGAGGCTAACATTTTTTCTGCAAATTCTCATTTTTTGTTCAAGCCGTGTTTCAGAACGCGAGGTATTTCTAAGCTCATTTATAAAGATAAACCGCTCAGTTACACTCGAGCTCGGGAAACGCTTTTACATAGATTACGTGAAATCGCCGGCAATGTTGATTTCGGGTTACATTCTTTAAGAAGCGGTGGTGCTACGGTTGCTGCAAATGCTTCTGTCAGTGATCGTTGTTGGAAACGTCACGGTCGTTGGAAATGCGATAAGAGCAAAGACGGCTATGTTGCCGATTCACTAGACAGAAGGTTAGCTGTCACGAAACAGCTAGGTCTATAATAAGTGCTGATTGCGGCTTCCAGCCCGTTCTTTTGATAGTTTTCTACGTACCCCGTCTGGTCATGCTAGTATAGTGTTTGTTGTTATTTTAGTTAAGGAAAGACTTGAAATTTTACGCGTTTCGATAGTATAGCGTAAAATGTTTGTCTTTGCGTATCGCTTTCTATACAGTGATTTGTCATGTTTTTCTCGTGCTTAAGTCGCAATGAACGGTTAATGTATAATGTGTACTGGTCATTCTACCAGACGTTTTCGAGCAGTTAACATATCCAATTTCATATTGAATAAGGTTTTGTTTTTTACAAATTCACTGATGTATTGAGAATATTTTTGATGTTTATAATAGTATACGTCAAACGCTAGATAAATGAGGTCCAGCATTTAGCGATCTTACAGTTGGCAAACGGACACAGGTTCTCAGTGTTTTTTCATTTAAAAAATAAAAATAAATGTTTTTTATCTCTGAGTTTTCCTGGCCGAGTTAGATCGCGTAAGCGTGCCTGACTAAATTTGTTGGTATTAAAGCATTTCATGGTTGTATTTTTTTTTAAGCAATTCTTTCGAAGGCAAAGGCGTATACTATTATCATGTAATGAATATTTTGCAAGACCAGAACAACTGATATAATAATAACGTGCTTAGATTACGTGTTCTTTCCATTGTTATCAATTGTGTGTTAAAATATTGCTTTGTCTTAAGCCCGGTTACTTGATTTGCTCATCAAATAAACGTACCCCGTCTGGTCATGCTAGTATAGTGTTTGTTGTTATTTTAGTTAAGGAAAGACTGTATGTTATTGAGGGAGTGTTTGAGTTAAATTGACTTTGTTTAAAAATTTTGATCAGAAGCAGTTGCTTTCTTATTTTTGTTAAATAAGAGTCATCAGTCTGAAGTAAGAGAGTTCACATGTATGGATATGTGTTTATTTGCTGTGTCTTGTGTCAGTCTATGCCTGAAGTGTATGATTTATTTTGCATGAATGTCTCTTTGTTTTTAAGATGCTTTATTACCTGCTTTGTTCTAAAATAATTGTCATTATCGAATTTGCTTAGATTTGACTGGTTTTCTCTTACTTTTTTCTCTAAAAAAAATGATGTTTGCTGTTTTATAAATTTGTTATAAAGATTGTTGACAGGTTAAATGGCCGTATATAAACGGCTGTTTGCAATATAACCCTCGCCTAGCGGCTCGGGTTATATTTAAAAACAGCCGTTTATATATTATGTTATTTTGGTTTTGGAGTGATATATGTGGATATATTACCTGCTAAGATTTTATATCACCCGAGCCGTTAGGCGAGGGTGATATTTTATCTTGGTAGGTAATATATCCACATATATCACTCCAAAACCAAAATAATAATTGTATTACCCTTCCCCTGCCGAGTTTAGACGATTTTTAAAAAAATCATTGCTGTTTCAAATGAAACGTCGAAATAAGATTCCCTTTAGGATACCCCTTCATCACATCATGACGTCACATAAATACCTGACGTATTGTTCCCGTACCTAACGAATGTAAACAAGAGAAAAGGAGTAGTCTATTGAACGCACTTTTTTGTAATTAATATCAAGCTTTCACCAGTCATATTTGTTTTCAATACTGATGAGAATATGTATCATTACTCTACTTTGGTAAATATTTATCATTATCGCATGGCTGTGAGCTTTTCCTTTGTTCTTTCCAACCCATTATACTCAGTACACTTCAATGAGCATTTCAAAACTGTATTGATATATAACAGTACAGTTTTTTCATTGATTCATATAGGAAAAAAACTGTACTGTTATATATCGGTCTAGTTTTTTTCGCACCTTGTATATATCAATACAGTTTTTTCATAGAGGCTCCAATGGGGCAGTGGTAACGACTATTCCCAGTAGCAAAAAAAACCCATAAGATAATAAAAAATGAAATCAATAAAATAAAATAAAATAAATATATAAATACAATGAAAAATATAAACAAAGATAATTAATGAAATGAAAAAAGCCCTTTAATCTTAAATCAATCTTGGTAACAGTATACAATCCGCCTCTTATATTGGATGTCTTTTGTATATTTTTTTTTGCGGCAGCGAAAACAACTTGAAAAACTGCCTTATGATAAATAACTGTAATGTAGCTAACGATTAATTTATTTATTTGTTTCTAAACAAAAAAGAAAACATTATGCCATTGCGATAAAACAGTTATAGTATATGAAACTCGTTAGTTACGGGGGTATAACACTGGCTGGGGCGACATCTCGGGATGTTTCTGTAAAAAAATGTCTCGGCCTAACGGCCTCGCCATTTTTTAGCAGAAACACCCCTTGATGTCGCCCCAGCCAGAGTTATACCCTCGTAACTAACTCGTTTCATATACTATAACTATTACTTAAACTGTTAAAAAGTGCTTGTAAATCGGAATTTACACCGCGTAAAATCGAACCGTACGCGCATCACCTCAGCGCATATTGTTTACAACGTGGGGTACCCAACGGGGAAATTTAGTGTGTATATTACCCGTCTAGCTCGGTTATATCAATTTCTTTCGGGTGATCAATATCCAATCAAAAAGGCGGAAAAAATCTGGAAGGGTAATAAAGGGCCATATAACCTGTCAACAATCTTTATAACTAATAATATACATTAACATTAAACATTCATTTGATTATTTAATAGAGAAATTAATTGTATAAAATTTATACAGCTAGACATGCATTTTGCCTAATACTAAAGATGAACTATGCGTGGTGTTTGTTATTTCTTGTTATTAAAGGTCATTGCCCTTTTCATAAGTAAGGTCCGAGAAGTAATTCAAAGGAAGTGTACAATACAAATTGTTTAATATTATCTAATACAGATCTGTTAAAAAATAAATTCACGTTTTCAGTACTTACCGCCTGAAGTCATCCCAAAATTAATATTTTTTGGGTGATATATTAATCGTATTGCAAAAAGGTCTATAGGCGCGTCATTGAAAAAATAATATTTTAAACAGTTTACTATTTTTATTTTATATAATTATATGATAAATAGAATATTATGTTCGTGTAGATTCAATACTAAATTTAATAAACTCGTTGAATAAAACAGTATTATGCTCACTAGAGGCTTGCATAATATGACTATTCAAATCGTTCAATTTAGTTTTAAACTTACACTCATTGAATATCCTCTATATATTTAGTTAACTGACACATTACACATCCACAAAAAAGATAATGGACCTGCATCATTAACAGTGGATAAAATACAGGTGTGACAAAACTAAAAAAAGGAAAACTCAGTATTTTCTTTTTATCTTCTTTTTAAAGATATGTTTAAATCGTTTATTTGTTTGCTTTTAGAAAAAGTAAAAGATTCGAGCGTTGTCACCGCCCGGCGTTTGCTCTTGTATTTTTTGTGTGGACGCAGCGATGCAATTCGTCACTTTTAAATAATTACATGTCAATTTACAGCATATGTTGTGTGAACGTTTACAAAATGATATCAGTAACTGGTAAGAAATAAAACAGAAAAGAAAGGAAAATGTTTTGTGATTTACCGTCACAGCTCTTTCTATTAGAATTCAACTGGTAGCCAAGAAAACATCTACAAGACGCTATCCCATTTTCATTGACACAATTGTGTTCACAGAGGGGTTCTCCTGAATCTCTTGCAGTGCATGGATCATAGTCTGCAATAAAATACACAGAAATGGCTCATTGATCATAGTCTGCAATAAAATACACAGAAATGGCTCACTGATCCATGCTAAATATGATAGTAATTATCACATGGTGATACCTTCTTTATTAGTGAGTAGGAAAATCTCCGAGAACGATAAACTTTTTTCAGTTATAGTATAATGTCGATTTACATTTTACTTTCGTAATATTTATATTGTTTACATATATACATTCAGTAAAGTAATGTATTCCTTTTAAAAAGAATGTATTCAGTATAATGGTGAAACCGTTCTAAACACTAAAATCGGTTATATAACCCAGTATAAACGGTTGTTATTCTGGCGTATATAACAGTTTATGTTGGGGCATATCATCTTCAAAATCTTCACACTAATATTATTATAATAATTAAAGAACTATGCAATAATAAAAAAAACAATAGTCAATATCCTAAGAAATCTAACAATTTTCACGAGTTATCATGGAGACGACACTTATAGACGTTTGGAGCCGATTACCGCATGGTTTATATGAGACGACATTTATAGACATTTGGAGCCAATTACCGCATGGTTTATATGAGACGACACTTATAGACATTTGGAGCCAATTACCGCATGGTTTATATGAGACGACACTTATAGACGTTTGGAGCCAATTACCGCATGGTTAATTTCAGACTACACTTGTAGACGTTTGGAGCCAATTACCGCATGGTTTATATGAGACGACACTTATGGACGTTTGGAGCCAATTACCGCATGGTTAATTTCAGACTACACTTGTAGACGTTTGGAGCCAATTACCGCATGGTTTATATGAGACGACACTTATAGACGTTTGGAGCCGATTACCGCATGGTTTTTTATGACATGACACTTATAGACATTTGGAGCTAATTACCGCATGTTTTATATGAGACGACACTTATAGACATTTGGGGCCAATTGCCGCATGTTTTATATGAGACGACACTTATAGACATTTGGAGCCAATTACCGCATGGTTTATATGAGATGACACTTATAGACATTTGGAGCCAATTACCGCATGGTTTATATGAGACGACACTTATAGACACTTCGGAGCCAATTACCGCATGGTTTATATGAGATGACACTTATAGACATTTGGAGCCGATTACCGCATGGTTTATATGAGACGACACTTATAGACGTTTGGAGCCAATTACCGCATGGTTTATATGAGATGACACTTATAGACATTCGGAGCCAATTACCGCATGGTTTATATGAGACGACACTTATAGACATTTGGAGCCAATTACCGCATGGTTTATATGAGATGACACTTATAGACGTTTGGAGCCAATTACCGCATGGTTAATTTCAGACTACACTTGTAGACGTTTGGAGCCAATTACCGCATGATTTATATGAGACGACACTTATAGACGTTTGGAGCCGATTACCACATGGTTTTTATGACATGACACTTATAGACATTTGGAGCCAATTACCGCATGTTTTATATGAGACGACACTTATAGACATTTGGGGCCAATTGCCGCATGTTTTATATGAGACGACACTTATAGACATTTGGAGCCAATTACCGCATGTTTTATATCAGACGACACTTATAGACATTCGGAGCCAATTACCGCATGGTTTATATGAGACGACACTTATAGACATTTGGAGCCAATAATCGCATGTTTTTATATGAGACGACACTTATAGACATTTGGAGCCAATTATCGCATGTTTTATATGAGACGACACTTATAGACATTTAGAGCCAATTACCGCATGGTTTATATGAGACGACACTTATAGACATTTGGAGCCAATTACCGCATGGTTTATATGAGACGACACTTATAGACATTTGGAGCCAATTATCGCATGGTTTATATGAGACGACACTTATAGACATTTGGAGCCAATTACCGCATGGTTTATATGAGACGACACTTATAGACATTTGGAGCCAAATACCGCATGTTTTATATCAGACGACACTTATAGACATTCGGAACCAATTACCGCATGGTTTATATGAAACGACACTTATAGACATTCGGAGCCAATTACCGCATGGTTTATATGAGACGACACTTTTAGACATTTGGAGCTAATTACCGCATGGTTTATATGAGACGACACTTATAGACGTTTGGAGCCAATTATCGCATGGTTTATATGAGACGACACTTTTAGACATTTGGAGCCAATTACCGCATGGTTTATATGAGACGACACTAATAGACGTATGGATCCAATTATCGCATGGTTTATATGAGACGACACTAATAGACGTATGGAGCAAATTATCGCATGGTTTATATGAGACGACTATTATGGACATTTGGAGCCAATTACCGCATGGTTTATATGAGACGACACTAATAGACATTTGGAGCCAATTACCGCATGGTTTATATGAGACGACACTAATAGACATTTGGAGCCAATTACCGCATGTTTTATATGAGACAACACTTATAGACATTTGGAGCCAATTGTCGCATGGTTTATATAAGACGACTCTTATAGACATTTGGAGCCAATTACCGCATGTTTTAATTGAGACGACACTTATAGACATTTGGGGCCAATTACCGCATGGTTTATATGACATGACACTAGTAGACATTTGGAGCCAATTATCGCATTGTTTATATGAGACGACACTTATAGACATTTGGAGCCAATTACCGCATGGTTTATATGAAACGACACTTGTAGACGTTTGGAGCCAATTACCGCATAGTTTATATGACATGACTCTAATAGACATTTGGAGCCAATTATCGCATTGTTTATATGAGACGACACTTATAGACATTTGGAGCCAATTACCGCATGGTTTATATGAAACGACACTTGTAGACGTTTGGAGCCAATTACCGCATAGTTTATATGAGACGACACTTATAGACATTTGGAACCAATTGCTGCATGGTTTATATGAGACGACACTCATAGACGTTTGGAGCCAATTACCGCACGTTTTATATGAGACGATACTTATAGACATTTGGAGCCAATCACCGCATGTTTTATATGAGACGACACTTTTTAAGGAGAGAAAAAGGTCATTACTGACAAAAGAAGACCCAGTTTATATGAAGCATGGGTATATATGATTGGTTCTATTTTTAGAATTTAGTGGATGCTGCCTCCCTATACACATTCCTATTCCTTTTGAAATATGTTCTTAGTTCTATTCTGTCACATTTCTATATTAAACAATATTCTATAAATATTAACCTTAAGTTTTCATCAATGTGCAATTTTGTTAATCTTCCTTACGGGATAGTGGTAATTGATATTTTAAGTACGAATGAAGAAAGATTACTAAGTTCAATAATATTGTATTGTTTACATATTTTATATACATACACACAACTTCACAATAATACAAACATGCATAAATGTAAAAAAAGTTGGGCCAAACGTTATAACAACATTTTCTCGACATCAAGTTCGGTAAGCTTATTAATTTACCTTGTGAAAGAGATTTAGCTTGAAAATGTATAAGAATAAAATTGTCTTTAAATATTGCATATATTACAGTTCACATTTATTAACTCTAAACGAATGATAGATGAAAATACCTAACTAATAGAAGTATAATATATCCGAGTTAATTCAATTTCATTAATCTGTCTATTGCATACTTTAAATGATCATTGGACAAACTACATACGTTTTAGAAGCTTCGAACTTTGGCAGTGTCCATAACATTACATAGAAAATGCCAATTTATATAAGTATAAGCATTTATTGCATTGATATTCAGCTTTCAATGGCATGGTTTTTAGTGGGTTTGATCCGCCCGCTTAGTTCAATAGGGAGAGCACGAGGCGTTATTTCTCCGTCGGACATTGAATCTAATAAACATTTGTCATTCAAAAATCATGTGCGATTCGTAGTCGCTCACTTGCTGATAAATTGGTAATTTCTGCTTAGTCATGCAAGGTTGGGTATAAAAATCAATAACTTGATCTTGAAAGTCAAGGTCATTTATGACACGTCTCATCAACTTTACTAGGATTGTTGTGTTCAAGTAATAAGTATGTGGACAATTTATTCATAACATTTATGCTACCACTTTTATTTGGGTTTTTTTCGAATATTTTCTTAGTTAGAAAAGATGCACAGTTAATGTCAAACTTAAACTGTCTGAGCACACACACACGTACGCACCAACACACACACGCACACACGCACGCACGCACGCACACACACACACACACACATAAATGCATTGTAATTATGCATTGATACGTCTTGTTTGTTCAAAAATAAATAATTTTCATACACTGAAAAAAAGTTTTACCACCAATCATAGCAAGAAAAAAAACATTTTGAAAAATCAGAAGTACTCCTTTTCAAGGTCAAGGTCGTTTAACAGTCAAGGTCAAAGTTAGCTTGATCTTTATGTAGGTCTTGTACTACAGAATGTTGTGTCTAAATATGAAGTCAACCCATCTATAAATAACACATTTATAGCCAGTTACAGGACAAAAAAGCCACATTTAATAACTTGACCTCGAATGTTATCTGGACTCAAGGTCAAGGTCCGTCTGGAAAGTTCTAAAGGATTGTTGTGCCTAAGAATGAAAAAAAATAAGTTATAGACACTGGTACATTTAGGGGATATTTTCTAAGTTGAAAACGGGCAATTATGTCAAACTAATTATCACAGTTATGAAACTTGGCATAGATTGTTGCATTGTGATATTGATTGTATCCTGCAAGTTTCAGGTTAATAGCTATACCGGTTTCTGATATGGGACGGGACGGGACAATGTGATTCCTATATAGACCCGCATCCCCACAAACTATGTTTGGTGGTGGTGGGGGGGTTAATAATGAATGTTATATAACTTTATAATATAATGTATATAATGTATGTATGTATATATATATATATATATATAATACACTTTAAATATTTATATAAGTCAGTCACAACATGCATTTCATACCATCACGTGATACAATAATATTCACACCAAGTATTGCAACGAAACTATTATTAAGTCCATGCAAGTATGCCTTATATTTGCATTTGTCTGAAAATACACATGCAAGTATTTCATTTATTATTTTGCATTAATCTAAACTATACATACAGAGATGCCTAAACTGAGAGAGGGAAAAGAGATTATTGCATTGATTGTTTGTACTGTTATATACATGTTACTCTTTAACGTAAAATTAAAGAAATACAAGTTCTGTTCTTTTATACTCTTCGTCAAATATAAATTGTATTTCATAATTGTGCATATAGAAAGGAAAATACAAATTGTACATACGCTAAAATCTATAAACTCATTTCATTACGTCAGTGTTAAATGCCGAGGACACATATTATAAACCGCATGAATCAATCAAATAAACATCAAACATAAAGAAAACAAAATCGCATATGTAACTATTTGCAAATAAATAAATAAAATATATAAAATAATATTATTTAAAATTAAATGTAAATAATCAGAGTATTGTTTTAAAGATAGAGAATGGTTTTCTCATAACTATATTCATTGGTTCACAAATAAAAAACCCCGAAATATTTCGTCCGATTTCAAAGATATAAATTTACCAATTTGCAGATTTACTTTTAAATTCATTAGAACGAACCAACAGTTTAATATAGTAAAATGTCTTATTTGCACGGGAGGGGGGTAATAGCAGGGTGCCTTGTGGAAGATTAATCTCACTTATGTATGGCAAATTGACCGTGTCTTCAAATCATATGACCACATATGTTGCATTGAGAACTGTGTGAATTAAGCACGTTTTCCCCCTCAAAATTATTAAGATTACTGTCGGAATATTATAAATGATCGTAAACAAAGTTCCCGTTGATAAATTTACACAGCAATACTCGTATATAACATAATACGCATAATTGTTTGTGCTCGTCAGAAGATTGAGTTTTTTGGTCATTTTTACTTAAAGCAAAATGAAGCACTATGCTTATTTTGTAGTATTTCATTGAAACCGTAGAGCCCCGGTAAATAAAGACAGAGCCCCGGGAGGATAAAGATAGAGCTACGGTTGATCCCGGTAGAGTCCCGGCAAAGCCCGGATCATTTCAAAAGAATAACGACAATTTGCGATGATTGCACTTGTTTGTATTAAAACCCTTCCCATTTCCCTTCTATCCAGTATTGCATAAGGATTTTTCAGAAAATCATCATGAATTTTCCGGAACAATAGATATTATATTAAATAAAAATTATGTATCAATGTTATCATTTTCGGGCGTTTTCAATCCACCGGGGTTCTACTGGGGCTCTGCCTGTATCGTCTTTGGCTCTGTCGGGCTCTGCCTGGATCGACCGGGGCTCTGCCTGGGTCAACCGGGGCTCTTCCGGCGTCATCCGGGAACGACCGGGGAAGCACCGGCATGAACCGTAGCTTAACCTGGGCTCTTCCTGGATGATCCGGAGCGCATCCTGGGTGGTTAGTTTGGAACTACCGTAGTGCTGCCGGGGTAAGTGTGACCGCAACAATAATTTCACCCCGGTAACTTACTGAGATGGTCCTGGGCTCTGCCGGGAGTAAGTGAGACCGCAGCTTTAGAGATGTTAAATGATTCCTTACATAATAGGGATATTTATACATCTCGGCACCATTTAAATATGCCGTTATGGATAATAGTTAAGCTCAATCTTCAAATGTTTCAATTAGTTTATCTATAAGCATTTGAAATACTGGGTTTTGTTCAGAAACAAAGAAAAATATCATGCCTTTTTTGTAGCCAGGATATGATAAAGTATTCCAATAGCTACCTTAACGATTTGCAGATTAAAAAAACTTAATTAAAACAAGAACAAACTATTACATTTTCTACATTCTATATACAACAACACCAAATATACCAAAATTTAATCCACTGTACGCCAATGGTTTTCTTCTATTGGTCAACATCATGGCCAGTGGTTTATCGGCGGCTATCTCTTCAGTGTTATGTAATTTAGAGTATTCGTTATTTTTTTGATTTTGAGAATGGAAAGTGTGTGCCTTTTGATTGTGTTTGGGCAGTTCTGTATTATTGTCTATAAAATTTGATGGTTTATCTTTATATTGAAGAACAATTTTATTGGCATCTTGTTTGTTATTGTTAAAGTTAGTATTCAGAGGTATGCTGTTAGTACGCAGTTCCTCGTCTATCCGTGCAACATCACTACCGTCTGTTCCGTTAAGTAAGCAAATATAAAGTATTGTTAAACTATTTTTCACATAATATACACAATAACAGTTTCTGTATGGTAAAAAAATACTTTCTTTCTATAATCCATGTACTTTAACGTAGCAGTTTGATTGTTTTAATCTTCAAGGTTTTGTCTGTCACATGAAGCAACATGTTAGTCATGGTAAATTGTACCAACATTAAAACATATATATTTTCATGCGAAGTACAAATTGTAATTGGTAAAATAAAAAAAACGCATACAAATTTAAACATTCTTTAAGAATATTTTAAAAACTTACCGAACCCGCGCACTGATGTAAAAACTATCCCGATCTTTTTAAAAGATCTATGAATTGCTAAAAGATATATCTTAATGTATGCAATCATTACTCCTTGAAACATGTTCTACATGAAGAGATATCGAAAGGTATAGAAAATGTACAATTCCAAACAGATTATATATTCAATAATACAATGAAGCAATTCTACATGCAGATACATGTAGCTATATCATCTTCATAGTTACTCTATTCTCACTAATTGCTTTAATAAGCTACGCTCTATATACATGTATGTAATGTTTGTGTCAAAAATACCGGTTAGTATATGTGTCACAATTAAAAGCAACATAGTCACCGTGTATGAAAACAATGTGAATACAAGCAATTATCATAGTATTGCAAGCAATCCATAAGTCCCCTACCGGTTAGAACTACAGCAACATTCTGATGGGCCATTCAATTTTACCATGAAAGAACTTAAATCGTTTGAGTTCTAAGTTTGTCTATATCACAGTAATGTGTTAAGTTTCCCTGCCTAGTAAGGAAATTATGTTTATACAACAGATAATCAAAAGGTCCAATTTTCTCAGAATGAATAAGAATAACTAATGTTTCAACTTTTCTCTTTTTTAAGTAAATTTGTTGGAAAAAATGTTAAAAAGTAATCTCAGGAAACAGTTTTTATGAACAGACATACATACATACATACATACATACAGACAGACTGAAGGAGACTCTAAAGTTACTTTTTCAAACACCCCTGCTACCAAAATATAACATGCTTTAATGCAAAATTTTTAAAGAGAAGATTACTATTGAAATAAAGATGCTAGATTTATGAACATTGTCATATATGATGTGAGTTTTACTTTAAGTTTAAAGGAATGAAGAAGTTGGAGTAAAAAATACCAATGTCTCGAAAAAAATCTATGTTCAAGGGGGACATAATTCTGAAAATAGTCTTGCTAGAGTATTTAACCTTCTCAAAAATGTTGAATGATAATAAGAAACATAAATAAAGAACTTACAGTGAAAAAGCTTAAAAATTTTAATCAGAAATCTTGAAATTCAGTCTATTTGTTGCCATAGCAACCAGAATTTTCAACATAAAAAGAAAAGAAAAAGATGCGCATAATCTCCAGACTGCCATCTACCCATATTTTAAGTTCATTAAAATATTTTTAGTACTTTTTGAGTTATCACTGGATCCAGTTTATGTGTTAAATTTGCAATATTTTCAGATTATTAGTTGCCATAGCAACCAGAATTTTCAACATAGGAAGAAAAAAAAAGACGTGCATAATCTCCATACTGCCACCTATCCATATATCAAGTTTCATTAAAATATTTTCAGTACTTTTTGCGTTATCGCGGGATCCAGTTTTGTGGACGGACGGACTGACAGACAGACGGACAGGCAGGCGGATAGACGGACGGACAGACGGACAGTGGGTAAACCTAAAGTCCCCTCCGGTTAAACCGGTAGGGGACTAATAAAGCAGGAATTGTGGAATGGTAACATCAAATTGTGCGGTTAACACGGTAAGTAAACATACCAGTATATTTTATAGTAAACCAAATTGAAAGACTACCGTTGCTAAGGCATTGTATTGTAACCCCATTTTGTATCATAGTTTGGGGACCTTTCTGTTGAAAATGTGTTAGAGTTAAATCGTAAATACATGCACAGTGCGTTAACTGGCGTGCAGGTATTTGTTACCCGCACTCCAGAGCATGCCCATTGATTGGCTCATTTTTGCTGGGGTTTACTTATTGTGACGGCAGAGAAAGGAAAAGCGACAGAAACATCATATTCAGATGCTCGTTCATTGGATCCTTTTTTCTGGGGTTTCATATTGTGAAACAGGGAACGTGTTTTTATGTTTGACTATGATACAAAAGAGAAAGAACATCAAAGCACTCGGCAATCAGATCGCCCCCTCGTACAAATCAGATAGCCTCGTGTTTCGATGCTCTTTCTTCAAGGAAAGCGTCTGGTATTCAAGATAATTCGTGAGAACGGCGGAAGACTTGTGCATCTTCGATGTTTATTAATATAGTACTACACATGCACCGGGTTTTCCTTTATTGTATTTTTATACATGCCAAACTACTGATGCTATATAATACCTAAGTTAAAAGTTAAACTACTGATGTTATATAATACCTAAGTTAACAGATAAATCTCTGATGCTATATAATACCTAAGTTAACAGATAAACTTTTGATGCTATATAATACCTAAGTTAACAGATACACTACTGATGCTATATAATACCTAAGTTAACAGTTAAACTACTGATGCTATATAATACCTAAGTTAACAGATAAACTACTGATGCTATATAATAGCTAAGTTAACAGTTAAACTACTGATGCTATATAATACCTAAGTTAACAGATAAACTACTGATGCTATATATTACCTAAGTTAACAGATAAACTACAGATGCTATATTTTACATAAGTTAACAGATAATCTACTGATGCTATATTACAACTAAGTTAACCGCTTAACTACTGATGCTATTTATTACCTAAGATAACAGTTAAACAACTGATGCTATATAATACCTAAGTTAACAGATAAACTTCTGATGCTATATAATACCCAAGTTAACAGATACACTACTGATGCTATATAATACCTATGTTAACAGATTAACTACTGATGCTACTATATAATACCTAAGTTAACAGATAAACTACTGATGCTATATAACAACTAAGTTAACAGATATAAACTACTGATGCTATATTACAACAAAGTTAACAGATAAACTATATAATACATAAGTTAACAGATAAACTACCGATGCTATATATACTACTGATGCTATATAACACGTAAGTTAAAAGATAAACTACTGATGCTATATAATACCTAAGTTAACAGATAAACTTCTGATGCTATATAATACCTAAGTTAACAGATAAAATGTAATCGAGCGACTAAAAATCATTTTATATGCTTCATATCAGTATTTTATAACACTTGATAGTTACACAAATGTCTCATGTATACCGAAAATCAAATACAATAATGTGGTCTATCATTAACGAAACACAAAAGTCGGTTTCTGACAGTTAGCCAGGTCGTCATTCTCACGAAGACATCTTCATTATGCGGGTTAAAATGTAATGTCTTGTATCATAGTTTGGGGACATTTCTGTTGAAAATGTGACAGAGTTAAATCGTATACATATACATGCACAGTGCGTTAACACGCCCGTTTAACTCACAACGAGTGAAAAATGTCCATCGGTTAAAATGTTGTGAGCAACTTCCGTTCCTCGTTGTGAGCACCCATCTAGGACGTGTGACACGATAAACAATGTGAGTTTTTCATAATTTTTGAATATTACAGACATTTATGTAAAAATATCGGAATGCAGTTAGCTAGCGATGTGTTTTCCGAGTATGCACATGTAAAGATATTGCCTGTTGGTCGACAATTTGATGGAAATACCGTGCGACGCAGTCACTTGGGGTAGCTGGAAAACTGGAGACAACTTCTCGCCGGACCAAATTTAACATTGAAAAACGTCGATTCTGGTGACGTTTTGTGCATTCTAACCTATAACAGATGCCCACAAGTCTTCAGCGTAAATTATTACATGAAAGTCTTCATAGAAACGAAGATATACCCTTTTTTGCTTTAATCCTCGTTGTGAGCACCATAACCTCGTTGTGAGCAAGACAAGCGCAGTGCGTGCTCACCATAACCTCGTTGTGAGCAAGACAAGCGCAGTGCGTGTCTGGTTTTAATATGTAATTCAAGTGGGGAGAATACAATTTTCAATCTACCAAAAGCAATCAAAACGTTTTTCACAATAGTTTCTCTTTGCAATAGTTCTTCTTTGTCTACATAACTTGGCCAGTCTAACATGAATAAAAATCAGGATAAATGCATGCATGTTTATATCACACAGACTGCCCTCTACTCTGGCAACACGAAGTATGTGCAATTTTAAAAATACATAATTTACCTCCCCTTATTAGTTCACCACCATTTGCACAAACAGCAAAACATCTGCAAAATTGTAGGTATAAGTAGTTTTTTTGTTTACCATTATCTATTAAGCTAAGAATATACTAGTGAAGTGTTAAAAGTTACAATACACAAAATAAGTAATCCTCCGCGAAAAACGATAGTCGCATATAATAACAGATAATAACAGATTCAAATAGTTCTCAGCGTTTGTTTGCTCTGTACACGAGCATTTTTCATGATTTTAGTTGCACTGTCTTTCCTAGAAAGCTCATGACAGTCTGTGTTTGACATTTAAATAGCATTTTCATCATGAAATAGTGGCATTTTAAGAAATCTTCTTGACTTCTTAGGTGTTTCACCACTGGTACAATTTTGGGTTAGCTAATTTTATGTACAGTGTGTTTAACTGAAAAGAATGTTTTTTGCAAGAGACATGACCAGAACTTTTCTTTTGATTTTTATGCATCACTGACAGTTTTTTCTAGTAGTTCTTATCTTTTTCAGACCAGGGCAAGTACATACTTGATGCCTCGCTTCGGTCTCTCCTTGAACGACCCCATGTCCAATCACTGAAAAGAATAGTACTGCAGTTGGAAGGCCTTGTCCAAAGAGGTGTTGTGCCTAAATATGAATTAAATTGATTTACTAATAAGGACATTATGGCCAATCTTAAATGTTTTTGGACAATTTGACCTTCAAGATAAAGGCCATTCAGGGGTCAAGGAAAAAAATACAGGCCCGTAGGAAGGTCAGGTCTTGTGCTAAGGGATGTTGTGTTCAAATATGAATCAAATCCATTTACTAATGAGGAAGTTATGGCCAATGTTAAAGTTTTCGGACGGATTGACGGACTGACGGACGGACAGTTCAAAACTAATATGCCTCCCTTCGGATATGCACAACGTCTTGCAAAGAAATGCTGCTGTGCAAAAACGTTTTAATTGCTTTGGTAGGTTGAAAATTATATTTTCACCATCTTTTGTTTGTTTTGGGTTTTACGTCACATCGACACAGTATAGGTCATATGGCGATGTTCCAGCTTTACTGGTGGAGAAAGACCTCAGGTGCCCTTCCGTGCATTATTTCAGGCACGAACGGGTACCTTAGTAGAACCACCGACGTTCCGTAAGCTAGCTTGGATAGCCTCCTCACATGAAAGAATCCAAAGTCCCTGTCGGGAGGTGAGGGGCAAGTGGTTTGAAGTCAACGACCTTAACCACTCAGCCACGGACGCCCCCTTTTTCACCATCTGAATAACATATTAAAACCAGACACGCACTGCGCTTGTCTTGCTCACAACGAGGTTATGGTGCTCACAACGAGGATTAAAGCAAATAAGGGTATATATCTTCGTTTCTATGAAGACTTTCATGTAATAATTTACGCTGAAGACTTGTGGGCATCTGTTTAAGGTTAGAATGCACAAAACTTCACCAAAATCGACGTTTTCAATGTTAAATTTGGTCCGGAGAGAAGTTGTCTCCAGTTTTCCAGCTACCCCGAGTGACTGCGTCGCACGGTATTTCCATCAAAGTGTCGACCAATAGGCAATATCTTTACATGTGCATACTCAGAAAACACATCGCTAGCTAACTGCATTCCGATATTTTTACATAAATGTCTGCAATCTTCAAAAAATATGAAAAACTCACCTTGTTTATCGTGTCAAACGTCCTAGACGGGTGCTCACAACGAGGAACGGAAGTTGCTCACAACATTTTAACCGATGGACATTTTTCACTCGTTGTGAGTTAAACGGGCGTGGTTAACTGGAGTGCAGGTATTAGTTACCCGCACTCCAGAGCATGCCCATTGATTGATTCATTTTGTCCGGGGTTTACATTTTGTGACGACAGAGAAACGGATTGCGATGGAAATATCATATTCAGATGCTCGTTCATTGGTTATTACTTTTTTGTGGTGTTTCGTATTGTGGTATCAGGGAACGTGTTTTTATGTTTGACTATGATACAAAAGAGAAAGAACATCAAAACACTCGGCAATCTAATTTATACTCGGGGGCTACGCCCCCTCGTATTAATCAGATAGCCTCGTGTTTTGATGCTCTTTCTATTACTTATCAGCCGCAGGGCTTATTTGATTAACTATGAAATATCTTGGTCCGTTTACTTACCGTGCTGCTTGCTTCAGTCATAACTGATTCGCTGTTTCTTTTGCACAATCCCTGAGATGACTGCATATAGTGTGTTTATGCAAACCCACAGTAGCTACATAATTTCGTTTTAAAATAAGTATGCATAAAGAACTAGACAACTTCATGTGTATATTAAGCATTGGCATAAATTAAAGAGAAACAGTAAACTTACTTATACACGTTCGGCGATCTGCATGTAAACGTTGACCACTTGGACACTGACACCTGTAGCCCCCACGTGTGTTTACACATTGATGTTGACATCCACCATTATATGAAAGACACTCGTTAACATCTAGTTTAATTACACAAATAACAAAGAATTACAGGAGCACAAAATCATAGGCGGGGCATTATGCGCTAGATTGAAATAACTTTTTAACTTGGGATGTTGAATTCTAGAATTTTTAGGAAACATGTATAATTCGTAATTGTGCACATTCCGTTTACTGGAAATGTTGGATTTCTACATTATCTCAATAAAAAAATTATGTTGGTTCTAACTTTTAATCTTGTACTGTGACCTTGACCTTGAAAGAGGGCATCTCAAGGTTGGTTTTCTACATGAAATTAACTTTAGACACAAGTTCCATGAACTTATATCTCGAAGACATAATGGACACTTTTAATAAGCTTGAAACGAAACTTCACAAAGGGTCATAATTCACAATCTTTTCTCGGCCCTTTCCGTCAAACTTCGGAAAAGAACTTCAAACTACACATAACGGATACGGTATTTCGGTCTAATCTACGCGAAGAAACTAAACATGGAAACAAAAAGAAATTGATGACTTTATTTATACCAATATATAGAGAGAAAAAGCCCACCTAAATTAAGTATATTTATAGATATAAAAGTAAACAATCCATTATTTATTTACTTATTATTATGGTCTAGAAACCGAAAGTATAAAATGTCTACCTTTTGACATTAATCCGAATTTGTTATATTATTAATATAATTTTACATCAGTGGGCATTTTTAAATTGATTATGATTGTCTGACGTATTTCTAAGCATAGTTTTAACGAAATAGACATTATTATTTTTAGGATTTTAAATATACATAACACATTTGTTACATATATACAAAATCAATGATTACATCATTTTTTTAAATTTACATCTTAAACAACGTGGCAGACCTACTTTTAATGCGTATTAAGTCCGGAGTTATTATTAATGATATCCGAGATGTTCCGATTGCATAATTCACAGTCAATCCATCCCAAGAGTAATCGGCTTTTGAAAGTAACTTCTTCAATTTATGGTTCGGGAGACATGTTTAATTTCAAATGAATGCCTACAGTTGTTTGATGTCGCATATAAAATTTTAACCATGTTCAAATTCAGTCAAAATCTAAAGTTTCAAATTAAAGAAGACTTATTTATTTTTGAAGATTTATGTTGAATTGAATTCTTTAACCAGACATTTTTAAGTTCACAAATTTTAATGAAAATGTTCATGCTAAAATTATGCGCCTTGGAAAGAGACTATTGTAATCTCAAATATGCGTGTAAAGTAACAAGCAAATTTAATTGTTGATGAGATATGTTTAACAAGAAGTTGCATCAGTGTTACCCCGACGCGATGCAGACACTGACGCCATTTAGACGAGTAATATAGCTTCTCTATTCTTTGAATAGTCTTACAAAAAATCAGAAGGGTGCTTATAACCACTTCATAATTCTAACAAGAAACATAAACTATACCTTCACATGATCTTCCGTCACGTGATAATTGAAAGCCACGCTTGCATTTACATATAAATGAACCGATGGTGTTACAGCATTCTTGTTCACAACCGCCATTGTTATTTGTGCATTCGTTAATATCTGAAACAAGTAGAAGATGTATCAGTTATCCATGAGGACTGGTCAATGTCATGTACTATTCAGCGTATTTCCGGGTGAAAATTTCAAAACATGACAACTGATTACTTTTTCTTATCTACGAACATTCAAAACGACAGCACCAAAAAATAGTTGACAAAAATAATAAAATTGAAAACTGCATACAGTATGGGAGTCGAAAGGAGTTAACTCCTATTGATAGAATTACAGTTGTTAAGTCTAGAAGTACTACTTTTAACACAGTTGTTTATGTCTTTTTCCAAACCCAAGTATACAATTGCTTAAAGAAATTAATAAAATGTTGTTGTTTTTTTTTCAATTTTTATGTGAAGTATGGCCCATTTAAAATTAAATCTATAGATTTAACAAAAACAAATCTACAGAGAAAGTTTTTAAGTATGGAAAGTGTTAAATAGAAGTTGAATGTAAATCAGTGTACACAATGTATTACTTTTGGAAGGAGGTTTTATTAAGCTTTTGTGACTTTACAACCAGTATGTTAACTGCCCTTTGTTTTACAATCATGATATTTTAATAGATAAGAAGAATGTGTATGTTAAAATAAATATACAAATTAAAATAGAATCTTTTTTATCAAAAATATTATGCATAAAATAATGTAAATGTTTTTAGTAAAAAAAGTTAGAAACAAAAATTGGTACAAAAATAACAAATATAAATTATATTATAATTTATGAAGTTTCGAAAAGTGCCATTAAGTATTAAAAGTCTTTGTACATCGAATATACTGATACCATTGCATTATTGCCATCAATTCCTTTTTATATAAAAAAAAACAACTTCAGAGTGGAACCTCTATATATTGTAATGTATTTATTGAAAATTGTCAAATACCTACATGCAAATCAGAATGGTTTTAACATTGATGAAAGTGGAAATACCTTTTTAAATGGGTTCACACTGAAACTTATGGTAGTTACCTCCAATGGCTTCGAACTAGAATTACACACTGAATTCTAAAAACTATTTAATGTTTTAAGAAGAAACATGAGAACCGCCAGGCGGACCATTATATGCCCGAAAAGTGTTTTTTTTTACCTTACTAAAGTAAGGATGAAACATTTGTAAGACATGGGGGTATTTCATAAGAATATCATATTATGAATAATTGTTGAAAACGAAGTAGAGATAAAAGATACAATTCAGAATGCTCCATCAAAAAGCAACCCTCCTTTATAGCTGAAGAACCTTCATATATATATTTACAGATGCTGTTTCCAAAGCACCACCATCAAGTTGTTGCTATCTTGTGCGACGGATGGACGGAAAGACGCCAGGGTATAACATAATATAAACAAACTTTTTAGGGCATATAATTAATGTTCTCAATATAAATGATCATCCTATGAAGTTTGACAGTTGTAAAACTGTTAACAATAATAATGTCATTTGATATTGACCTTAGACCTTGTGACCCCAATATAGATATAGATCTTTTATTCAAAACAGGCAATCATCCTTAAAGTTTGAACACTGTAAGCCAAATGGAACTTGTGTTATGCTCCAGAAACCACAATTTTCAGTGTTAAGATCATTGTGACCCTGACCTTTGACCTTATAATCCTAAAATCAATAGGGGTCATGTATTGGACATATCTGTTCATCCTATAAAATTTTACAGCTGTAGGTAGATTAATACTTAAGTTATTGAGCAAAAACTGTTTTCAGTTTTAAGGTAATTGTGACCTTGACCTTTGACATTGTGACCCAAAAATTAATAGGGGTCTCCTTCTCAATATTGACAATCATCCTATGAAGTTTAAACACTGTGGGCTAAATGGAACTTGAGTTATGCTCCAGAAACCACAATTTTCAGTGTAAAGGTCATTGTGACCCTGACCTTTGACCTTATGACCCTAAAATCAATAGGGGTCATGCATTGGACATGACTGTTCATCCTTTAAAAGTTTACAGTTGTAGGTTGATTAATACTTAAGTTATTGAGCGAACACCGTTTTCAGTTTAAGGTTAAAGTGTCTTTGACCTTTAACCTTGTGACCCAAAAATCAATAGTGGTTTTCTACTCAATATGGACAAACATCCTATGAAGTTTGAATATTGTGGGCTAAATGGAATTTAAGTTATGCTCCGGAAACCAAACTGCTAACAGACGGACGGACGGAAGGAGCGGACAGAGAGACGGACGCCAGAGGGTATAACATAATATGTCCGAAATTCTTTCGGGCATATAAAAAGAGACATTGACTCATTCATCCTGGAACTGTTCTGATATAAAAACTTTTATTTCAGATGTGCATCAACTTTAAAAGTTGCAACATTGATTGCAGTGTTGATTGTTAGGTTATCAAAAAGGTGACCAATGTCAATTTTATTAATTTTTTTATAGAATTAAAAACAATATATTTTCTTGTGCACGAGGGGGGGGGATATTTGAGAGATTTAAGCTTAAAAAAACTTGAATTATCCTTAGTACAGGAGAGTTGGGACTTTAATAATTGATCCTTTAAAGTAAACACATTAACGATCCTTATACAGGAGACCGAGACTGTTAACTCATCAAATATCCTCAATACAGAAAATTTTGACACATCACTATTGTTAATAAAGGAGTTTGGAGCTTAAAATTCATCAATGAGACTGGGGCTTAAAACTTGTCACAAGGAGATTGCTATTTAAACACACATCACTGATCCTTTATAGAGGAGATATGGACTTAAACACATCAATGATTCGCCACTCAGGAGAACAGGGGCACAAAACACATACATGATCTTTAATTCAGGAGATTGGGTCTTAAAACACATCAATACTCCGGAATACAGGAGATTTGTATCGAGTAAGGTTAAAAGTTGTTGAAATTGCTTTTAAAGGCCTTGAATTGGCTTTCAAAACAAAATAACAAAGACTAATCAATTTTGTTAGATCTCCTGGAAATAGTAGTAGAGTATAAATAGAGCGTTTAGGGAGAAAATCTATAGTTGCTATGACATGATTATATTCCTCTGTACTCGTAAGGTATTGTTTATTTGGATATCAAATACAACGTCCCGTACTGGCACGCAACGCATGCCAGCTAACAGGAGAAATCATCAATCATATTCATGTCTTGCTTTTGTTTTCTCTTATAATAAGTTCTGTAAAAATATATAGAAATACTCACTTAAAGCTTATCTAATTTACTTTTACTGACAATGTACTTAATAATATATTATAAATGGATGTTAAAGTAAATTGTTTATTGAAGCATTAAAAATTTTGAATTTAGATAAAGGTGAAACTTTTTAAGAAGTATTGACAAAATTATTTTAATTGTTCTCTTTAACAAGTAATATTATACTCTTTGAAATTCTCTTTTAAAAAAGTGATTTAAAAAATCTCGCTAAAATCTATCATTGTTCTATTTCACTTTTAATTCAATATTTATTATCGTTGTATGGTTTAATCGCTACTGTCGAATTTTCGCTATATTTGATATTACATTTAACCGAGTTTTGTCTTCAACATAATTATATTTTATATTGAGCACACCATTCGAGGATATTATGCTGGCCATTTCTCTGTCTTTACATTCGACAGCGAGAAGATGCTCATTTTATGTCTGCGTCATGACTCAAGGATACGACAATTCTAGTCGTACATGCATGTCTGCGTCATGACTCAAGAGCAAGACAATTGTAGTCTTACATGCATGTCTGCGTCATGACTCGAGGGCAAGACAATTCTAGTCTTACATGCATGTCTGCGTCATGACTCGAGGGCAAGACAATTCTAGTCTTAAATGCATGTATGCGTCATAACTCGAAGTCAAGACAATTTAGTCTTACATGCATGTCTGCGTCATGACTCAAGGCCAAGACAATTCTAGTCCTAATGCATGTCTGCGTCATGACTCGAGGTCAAGACAATTCAGTCTTACATGCATGTCTGCGTCACGACTTGAGGGCAAGACAATTCTAAACTTACATGTATGTATGTGTCATGACTTGAGGGCAAGACAATTCTAGTCTTACATGCATGTCTGCGTCATTACGCGAGGGCAAGGTTATTCTAGTCTTACATGCATGTCATCGGCACGTCTCGAGGGCAAGACAATTCTAGTCTTACATGCATGTCTGCGTCATGACTTGAGGGCAAGACAATTCTAAACTTACATGTATGTATGTGTCATGACTTGAGGGCAAGACAATTCTAGTCTTACATGCATGTCTGCGTCATTACGCGAGGGCAAGGTTATTCTAGTCTTACATGCATGTCATCGGCACGTCTCGAGGGCAAGACAATTCTAGTCTTACATGCATGTCTGCGTCATGACTAAAGGGCAAGACAATTCTGGTCTTACATGCATGTCTGCGTTATGACTCGAGGGCAAGACAATCCTAGTCTTATATGCATGTCTGCGTCATGACTCGCGGGCAAGACAATTCTAGTCTTACATGCATGTCTGCGTCATATCTCGAGGTCAAGACAATTAAGTCTTACATGCATGTCTGCGTTATGACTCAAGGGCAAGACAATTCTAGTCTTAAATGCATGTCTGCGTCATTACGCGATGGCAAGGCAATTCTATTCTTACATGCATGTCTGCGTCGCGACTCGAGGGCAAGTCACCGCTTGTCTTATATGCATGTCTGCGTCATGACTCAAAGGCAAGACAATTCTAGTCTTACATGCATGTCTGCGTCTTGACTCAAGGACAAGACGATTCTAGTCTTACATGCATGTCTGCGTCAAGAGTCGAGGATAACACAATTCTAGTCTTACATGCATGTCTGCGCCATGACTCGAGGTTACCACAATTCTTGTCTTACATGCATGTCTGCGTCATGACTCGAGGGCAAGACAATTCTAGTATAACATGCATGTCTGCGTCATGACTCGAGTGTCTTACATAACATTGTCGACTAAAACTCAACAATAGAAGCAGTGACAATTACAATTTTATACTGAGAATTAAAGACACATATGTCCTTCAGTATGCATAAAAAATTCGAAAATATTCTGCTATTGTGGCTGAGTTGTGTCACTCGTGTTTTCACCCCGCGACCCCGCCAAGCAAAATCAAGCGAATGCCGTAATAAATTAACTTCGCCCGCCCTCCACTAGTAAGCGTGTTTTTGCTTCGCGACACCGCCGTTTTATTTCTTAAATTTCTCAAAGTCCGTCAGTGTAGTGTCAGCGAAATTGTCGTACATTCATATCTGCAAAACTACATAATGCATCCCAGTCTCATACCGAATAGAACATATCGACTATCCACTACTCAAGAAGAATCCAATATTTTTCATTTCCTCTAATTTATAATTTATTAACAAAAATATTTTCCGCAACGCACAGTATTTTGGCATCATATTTTTTAACAAACAGTTCAATGTAATCAAGATTGACACACACATATAATACCATGATCGATGTATACAAGATTAACACACAAACATAAAGAAATCCATACAGCATAAACAGACAGTTTGATGTATAAAAGACTGACACATAAACATTAAAGTAGTCTCGATACCATAAACAGACAGTCCGATGTATACAATATTGACACACAGACATAAAAGTAGTCCATATATCGATATTTACAAGATTGACACATCAATATACCTTGAACAGACAATTCGATGTATACATTATTGACACACAAAAATAAAAGTAGTCCATACACCATAAAAAGACAGTTTGATGTATACAAGATTGACACTCAAAAATAAAAGTAGTCCATACACCATAACAAGAGCGATCAGTAATCACATGTGTCACCTCATGATGGCCAATTTCATGTTGGGACACATTTTGTGACAGACGGACAGACAGACGGACAGTGCACAACTAGACTTGGTACTGATCATTCCTGTAAAGTTTGGATGAAATTGCACCAGTAGTTTATGAGGAGTAGTCCGGACAAGCTTTTGCGTATCTGGCAACACACAGAAAAAAAAACACCTTTTTATCAAAGGGCCATAACTCGGCCAAAAATCATTCAACCAAAAAACCCGTGCAATATGCGCAAGGACTTGAGCTACAGATCAATCCTGTAAAGTTTCATTGAAATTGCATCAGTGGTATAAGAGAAATAGTCCGGACAAACTTTAAAAAAAATTTATTAAAGGGCCATAATTCTGACAAAAATCATTGAACCGGAAAATACTGACACTATGCACAACTAGACTTGGTACTGATCATTCTTGTAAAGTTTGGATGAAATTGCACCAGTAGTTTATGAGGAGTAGTCCGGACAAGCTTTTGTGTATCTGGCAACACACAGAAAAAACACCTTTTTATCAAAGGGCCATAACTCGGCCAAAAATCATTCAACCGAAAAAACTCGTGCAATATGCGCAAGGACTTGAGCTACAGATCAATCCTGTAAAGTTTCATTGAAATTGCATTAGTGGTATAAGAGAAGTAGTCCGGACAAACTTTAAAATTAAAAATTATTAAAGGGCCATAACTCTGACAAAAATCATTGAACCGGAAAATGCTGACAATATGCACAACTAGACTTGGTACTGATCATTCCTGTAAAGTTTGTATGAAATTGCACCAGTTGTTTATGAGGAGTAGTCCGGACAAGTTTTGTGACGGACGGACGGACAGACAGACAGACAGACAGACGGACAGACAGACGACGGAGAAGTGATCCCTATATGTCGCCACTACTCCGTAGAGGCGACACAAAGACGTTTGATTTATACAAGATGGACACAAAAACATAAAAGTAGTCTCGGGCTGTACAATGTATATATACCATGAACGGGTAGTTTAATACATGTATATCCAATATTCACACACAAAGTAAACATAGTCATAACAACGTGAGTTTACAGTTCAGTGTTTAACACGAGATTCACAAGTCAACATAACATGTGCAGACGGTTCAGTGTATTTTTGATTCACACACACAAAATAACCATTCTATAAATTGATAGTTCAATATATTCACAAGTTTCACATACTTACATAAATTGTCACCATACCACGAACGGGAAATTTAATATGTAAAAGATTCACACCTTTAAAGAGTCAAAAGTGTCATGCAGTTACTATTAATTGATTACGACAGCAATGTATGAAGTATGGCTCAAAATGAAACTTTGTAAGGAAAAAACTACGATAAACACAGTTTTAACTTATCTACTAAAGAAGATAGACACATATTTACCGTATTCGCATCGGCCACCTTGAAATCCAGCAGGGCAAATACATCTTTGACCATATGATGACATGCAGTTTCCTCCATTTAAACATAAAGCTCTATTGCATTCCCCTGTAAATATAAGATTTCAAGCATGTAAAAGACATAAATCTAGCAATGGGTATTAACAAGTAAATTTGTGTGTAACACGACTAGAAACAGCGAATATTGGTATATATAAGAGACGGAAGTAGACAAAGTCAGCCGAATTTAAACGAGTTGTTGTTGTTCTTCGTGTTTAAGATTAGGTCGTCATCAACTTTTATAATGGGCAATGCTATTGAGTTTATAAATGTTGACGAACTCGCCAGTTCTGGTGTCTGATCATAAACAAAAATACATTTAAAGACGACACTTTGCCGGTCCCTATCAGTTTTATAATGTCGGTAGTTTGGTAGTTTATTTATATATATATCTATTACATATTTTTCGTTTTGATTGCAGGTTATTCACATGCAATAGTGAGCGGTAAAACAGTAAATTTATGATTTTGCTAGACTTAACTGACATTCATGTTCTGTGATAAATTGTGATTTACCTCAATCTTGGCTTTATATAGTTCCATGCCTGTTAAATCGGCGTTTCAGAAAAAAATGCAAAAAAATCAATTTTGACTTTTCATGTAAATACGACTAAAGACGGTAGGATTGAGTGGCACAACACCACTTTAAAATAAAAGGTGTCAAGTGCCGTGTGGCAGCTGTAAAAAGTTGCCCGTACTTCACTTCAGTGTTGTTCTATTTTTCTGGTCCTTCAGGATCATTGATACCAGCACTTTTAAGTGTTGAAAATTTAATACCGCTCAAGCCGGTGCAAGTGGGCATGGGGAATGTTGCATTGTTTCATAATTCCTCATGCACAGACACAATCAAACCGAGTCTGCAATTTTCATGAAATGTAATTTATGCTTCCGAGAGCTTACCCTTTCTCCAGATGTTTACATGTACAAGCAAATCTTTATGTTTGAAGGCTACTATTTATTAATTTTGTACTAGATCTAATACTAGATTTACAGGAAAGGAAAAGTTATATTTTGTAATTCTTGTTGTACAGATCTCCCGTGATGACAAGTGACATATTCCTAAAATTATTCCCTGTAGAGAGGATATTGAAAACTCTTTGGTTTGAATGTGCGAATCCCAAGTACTCCACACAAAGATTATGGATCAAGACGACATTACCTTGCTGTACATTTACTCGTGAAAAACAAGATTGCATTTGTGAAAAAATGCTGTATGCCACCGCATTAATTCTCAACACTATAATTATAGTTTGAACAAAAGTAGATTTTCTTTTGTTTCTATACAATTGAACTTTGCTATAATGCAGGAGTAACTAGTGAAATCATATTTTAAAATTTCAAACGAAAGAAATGTACAGCTGTGTCTTATGTTCAGATACAAAGGCCACAGTTTAATAAATGATTCAAAATAAAAGTATTCTTACTTGATAAAAATTATGGTATCTACTGTATTACATTAATGTATTGACCTTTGAGATATAGTAACATTTATTTTTCTTATATGCTTTTCAAGCATTACCTACATTTATTTCTGAAAACATAAAGAAACATCTATCATTTAAAATCATTATTCTATGCATTGTGTAAATCACTTTGTCGTATAGTCGTGTCTTCGCCTTCCGCCCCGCGGAGCACAATTACGACAAAGTCGTCACTTTGTCGTATATTCGAGTTTTCGACTGATTTGTGCTATGTCTTATTTTTGCTCCTCAGGGCGCCAGGTAAATACACGAATGTCACTTTGTCGTAATTTTGGTTTTCGCTCCGCATGACGCCAGACGAAATCACACAACACGAAAATACGGCTTTGTCGTACTTTCGCTCCGCGTTGCACCAGGCAAAAACATGAAATTACGACAATGCAACAAATTTATCTGCGGAGCACCAGGCGAAATACAAAAAATACAACAAAGTGATTATTTTGTAGTTTTATCGTGTTTTCGACTGGCGCCCCACAAACCGAAAGTCCGACAAACTAGTAGATACCTTAAAATATTCTTTTATATTTGCTCCAAACGAACATGATTTTTTTCTTTTATAAGGATAATGATCTTTCCGCAGCAGTCATTTCCTCTGATCAGTCAGGAAAATAGCGTTGTGCGATGTAGTTGTTGAATTGACCAGAATGACGTCACGATAACATATTTTCCTTAAAAAGTACATGTATAATACATTTTTACTGAAATAAAATTAAAATATCTATCAAGTAAAATGGCAACAATTCACTTTACATGTACTTGCAGAAGTTTACCTATGTAACATATGCATGATACATCAGTAAATTGTTCTGGTGCCAACTCATAATGCTCTATGAAAAATAGTAACTCCTACGAACAAAAGCCTAATTAAATGGTGGCTGATTTAGAACACTTTTGTGCATCGTGTTGTCACTAGCGACATCACGACATAGCACCAAACGGCGCCTTGTCGAACTTTCGTCTTGTCGTCCTGTCGCAAGCGATGCAAGCCAAACGGCGCGTTGTCGTGCAGCGTTTAGTCGCGATGTCACGGTATCGCTCGGCTCAAAACGAAGAATTAGCCACATCGCGACAATGCGCCGAACAACAACGCGCTGTTTGGCGTGCTTCGCTAGCGACAAGACGAAAATGCGATATTGATATAGGTCGTGTTGTCGCTATCGACAACGCAACCCGCAATGTGTACCAAATCAGCCACTATATAATAAGGACTTTATAACTTTTACGTAGGACTATACGTAGGAGATTAAAAAAAACACCTAATCATGGCTTTGTAACTTCTACGTAAAGAATATTATAACGTTTACATAGGACTTTTTAACTCCTACTATATCAATATTTTTTTTATCTTCTACGTAGAAGTTATAAACTTCTTATTAGGCTTTTTCTTCTATGTAGGACTACTGAATAGAGAAAAACGGCATCCCTATAAAACGATCAAGTCGTTATTAGCCTTTTTATTAGTAGTTTTAATTAGGCATTTTTATCCCCGTCGTAGCGTCGTAGGTGTCATATATTTTTATATCCTATGTAGGATTATTCTTTTTTTTAATATAAAACTAATATGAATTGGCACAACTCGTGGCCACGACATAGTATCTCGTGCCCACGACATAGTATCTCGTTGTCACGACTTAGTAACTCGTTGGGGCACCACGACATAGTATCTCGTGCCCACGACATAGTATCTCCTAATTAGGCATTTTTATCCCCAACGTAGGAGTCATATTTTTTATATCCTATGTAGGATTATTCTTTTTTTTTTATAGAACTATTATGAATTGGCACAAGGTCACTTCGTAGAAAATACATATAGTTTGTTGAAATACTAACGGTACATGCACGATGGTTCACTTCCCTGCTGTCTCCATCCATGACAACATTTATATTTTGTTATATATCTCGGCTGATACTGATCTTTGTAAGTTGTATAGTAATATTGTCTGAAATACAAAAACGATAAACTACATAAGACTGTTCTACTTCTGAAGAAAAAGCGAAAATGAAAGGGAAACTACATTGCATAAGGTTGACTGATAATTTTTTCATATTCTACACGTGGAACGATACTAAATCATCGGTCATTTTTGATACATGTGTTACACTTATATAGTAAAGTTATATTGAAACTTTTCGTATAATTACACTGATGATGCAGCAGACAAAGCCTGTTAGATTGATCGGCCGCCAAGAAATGATCAATAGATCAATCGGCGTCAAATAACAAATACAAGTAAATTTATGTGAAATGAAGTTTAATGAAATAATAATAATGAAATAAAATAATAAAAAAGAACAAGAAAAAAAGATGAAATAATTCTTCTAGCTTAACATGTTTGTCTAAAATGTCACTAAAATAAGACGAACTTATTAATAATTATAACAAGTACTTTATTAATCTGTAAGTATTATCAGAATTTACAGCACTTTTGGTTACAACTGGTCAGTTAACTCTAAACAAGAAAAATATTACATACATTCGTAGGTACGATTGAATACTACTTTCTGTGAAGACTTTTTATGCTTGCTGCATGAAAGGTGAACAAACATGTCATGAGATATTTTATATCTTTAAATATTTCAATGGAATGTTATTAATGTATCACCATATTAAAGTTGCATGCCTTCAGATGAGAAAAATGATTTCAAGGAAATCAAAATATAAAAAGAAAATTCACGGTCAATTGACTGCTTTGAAGCATAATCACAAAATAAAATTACACATAAATTAAAACCCTTTTTAATACACTAAAAAAAAAACAACCGAAAGACACATTTGTAAATATTTATTACAATAAAATATGAAAAGGTATTTTCCGTCCTATGCGACGCGCCGAGGTTAACTATATTTATAATTCCCGCGCTAAGTCACGGTGGTGCTTGGGATAATCACTTGATACTGTAAACGGCAGCCATTTTCGCACAGTTTATCCTACCGAAAAGATATGAAAAAATACTTGCAATTCAAAGTATAGTTTGTTTGCTACATAAAGATTATCGATTTACTCTTTCTGCCTAACTGTAATAATATTGATGTTTTTTCATTGGCTTAAACCATCACGTTATCAATACATATGTAGGTGTGAACTAATTTCGTGTTCATTAAAATTATGCCGTAAATAGACATATAACAATTTTATTTACAAATAAATTGATATAACAACCATCCCAGAAGCATTTAAGATAATAATAATCATTGGAAATTAATAAATGCATATAAATCGTAAATTTGTGTATGATAACTCACCCCCTAAACAAAACATAATAGACTCAACCATAACAAGTGTCTGCTTCTTTATCTAATTATGTAGTTGCATGACCATGATTAGCAAACCAAATTTAAGAGCTAAACCTATTGCACAGGAGGCGCTGAATTTGTTTTGGTCTCAGAATGTCAGAAAGGTGAAGGTTGTGAGATTATATGTATAGTGCCACCAATTCTTTCCAGCGTTTTAATTGTAGTAAATTGGTTATAAGACTAATTGCAACACTGATATTCAATTCAATGTTTATTTGACTTAAACAATTTGAAAAAAAAATGAGTTGCCATAACTGGGATTTGAACTCCAGACCGCTCGCTTCATAAGCGAGCGCGCAAAGCACGGCCACGGTGAAGTTATATGTTAACGACCTGAAGAAAACCATATTATTCTAAATTAGGGTTTGTAACCCTTATCATTTTGTTTAAAACAGATGTAAATAATCATGGAGCTTACTATAAGCATGTATATCTATAAAGAATAAAACAATATTAGAAATCTTCGACCATTCGGGAACTATTTTGCTTGAAAGTTAATGCGCCTGTCATTTGACCATCTTTACACAGTGATCTCCCCTGAAATTTTCGGCGTTAGTGTACATATAAAGGGAAGTAACCGCTTCAAAAAAGCGGACTACTTTCGGCATTTGCAATTAACAGCATCAGGGTCTGAAATTTCGCTACCATTATTTGTTTGGTCTGACGACCCAAACAAATAATAATACTATGACCACAGCAGATTTCGTACAGAAAAATCCAACATTCGGAACTATACATTACTTTACAAATGACAAAGTTAACCTGTTGAGAATAAAGTGTTACATTGCTTAGTCATATAACTTTTTGTTTAGCCTTTGCGGCACTTTTTTGAGTATTCAAAATTTGGTTATTTATGTAATAGAAAAAAACCCATCGAAACAAGACGCTATCTGACTTGTACGAAAGTGTGTAGCTCCCGCGTATGAATCAGATTGCCATAGTATATCGTGGCCACGACTTAATTATGTTGTTCCCACGACTTAGTAACTCGTGACCATGACTTAGTAACTCGTTGCCACGACAAAGTATCTTGTGGCCACGACATAGTATCTCGCGGCCACGACCTAATTATCTCGTTCCCACGACTAAGTAACTCGTGGCCACGACTTAGTAAGTCGTTGCTACGAAATAGTATTTCGTGGCCATGACATAGTAACTCGTAGCCACGACTTAATGTTTCGTTCCCACGACTTAGTTAGTGGCCCAGACATAGTATCTCATGCGCACGACATAGTATTTCGTGCCCACGACTTAACTTTCTCGTTCCCACGACTTAGTAACTCGTGACCACGACATAGTATCTCGTGCGCACGAGATAAAAGAAACAAAAACGCACACACACATGTCACCTCTGTGCCACCGTAAAACTATAATACAAGAGTGATATTCCTTGATTGATGAAGGATCGCTTATAACTGCATGACAAAATTATGTACAAAGAGAGTAGTGCAGGTATCTCATTATGAGTTGGCTTTCAGTGAAAATGTTTATATGAATTTTGATATCGCTCAGTCTTGTACTCAAACTAATTGTTTTTTCAGCATTGCTCTTTGGAAAAAACACCTATTACTATCAAACACTGTTTGATATTATAGTCTTTCAAAAACTGCTGTAAAATCTTTTTTTTTACAATTAGATACACCAGGGCCTTAGACCCTGGATACATGATGAAAATTGAAATCAAGCCCGTCACGTGACTATAGGAGGTAACAAACACACGGCTGCTGTTGTAATTTATACTACAATTAAGTATGGAAAATGCAGGAAATAAACATCTTGACCACATTCTTTACTGAAAAGCCCAATTAAGATAACGTTACAAAGCTATCTCAAAGTTCTAATTATCCTTTGATAATTTTCATTGCGTTAATTTATACTGTAAATGCAATTATCTATATCTATTATCGTTATGTTTTTAGATATTAAGTGTTAATAACAAAGAAAAACTAATTTTCTATTTTTAAAATTGTGGATTAAATTTATAAAAGGAAAAAGGACTCGTGCTAAAGCTCTGAATCGACAGATTTATGTTAAACTTGCAAGTCAACAAACAAGTATGGGATTTTATGAATACATATTGTTTCAATACATGAATTCACTTTGAAACATACAAAAGGTGAATTGATAATGTACTAAATAATAAATACTTGTTGTAAATTAAATATACATCAGGGTAAAGAAATGCCAGATGAAAATAATAAAACAATAGGGGGAGGCGAGTCATTTTCTATACCTTCTGCATTAATAACATTACAGTTTTGCCTAAAATTGTGAAAAGCAACACGATATTACTTTACGTTTAAATCAGATGACCATCACCTGTAAATGTATATAGAGCCTTTAATAAGGGAACTTGCAGTGGGTATGTTTACCGACTAGAGGTCACGTGACTGCTTTCGTCGATGTTGTTATTGTTGACATTATTATTGTTTAATTTTTAATTACTATTACTAAAATGACTGTCAGACGAATGAATGCATGAAAATATCTTAGCTTTATATTTGAATATATATTTGAACAATAATAATTATTATGATACTAAATAACCGCTTATATAGGGACATTTTTTGTTTTTGTATAAGTCAACAGAGCAGTTTTGGAATTGCACACTTATTATTCATTTTTTTTTTTGTAGAAGTTCACAACACTAAGTTCCATGCAATTCAAGGTTATGAAGTTTAAGACAAACATATTTATCAAAATATCAGAAAATTTATACTTAGAAACCCGAATACATTACAACATTTCAATTTTGACGAAGACTAAAGTATAGAGTTACGTGCTATGAAATCTACACATTGTAGTTTCTAAGATGAAAAATTTTAAGATTTCATTTTTAACATATATTGAATAGTTCATGTAACCTACTTGTGTATTAGACTAGAAACATGTAAATTGTGTATAGTACCAGCTAAAGTTAATCTCCTTTTGAGTCAGAATGGAAACATGTAAATTGTGTATACATCTAGCTAAAGTTAACCTACTTGTGCATCAGACTAAAAACATGCAAATTGTGTATAGGTACCAATTAAAGTTAACTTACTTGTGCATCAGACTAGAAATATGTGAATTGAGTAAATTACCTATTAAGTTTAACCTACTTGTGCATCAGACTGAAAAAAAAATTAATTGCTTATAACACCAGTTAATGTAAACCTACCAGTGAATCACACTCAAAACATGTGAATTGCTATAGTACCAGCTTAAGTTAACCTACTTGTGTATCAGACTACAAACGTGTAAATTGTGTATAGTACCAGCTAAAGTTAAACTACTTGTGCATCAGACTGGAAACATGTAAATTGTGTAAAGTACGAGCTACAGTTAAGCTACTTGTGCATCAGACAAAAACATGTAAATTGTTATAGTACCAGCTAAAGTTTACTTACTTGTGCATTAGACTAGAAACATATGAATTGTGTATAGGACCAGCTTAAGTTAACCTACTTGTGCATCAGGCTAGAAACATGTTAATTGTGTAAAGTACAAGCTAAAGTTTACCTACTTTTGCATCAGACAAAATATGGAAATCGATAATAGTACCAATAAAAGTAAACCTACTAGTGCATCAGACTAGATACATGTAAATAATGTATAGTAACAGCTAAAGTTAACCTTCTTGTGCATCACACTAGTAGCATGTAA